AAGCACCAGTGCCCGATCAGCACCTGCACCATATGGAAGGTGAGCCCGCGTCCCCGCCTGTCCGTCATTTCTGGCAGACAGGAATGGACGGCCTCGGCCGTTCGGATCCCGAATCCTTTGGGGTCAGCCAATATGGCTGACGTTCCAAGACTCGGGATCTGGCCTGGGATTTCAAGGCCCTCAGGTTTCAGGGAGGGCGATTCGGGGGTTCCGCATGTCTCATACATGGCGGCGACCACCCTGGCCGGCTCCCTCCCAGTGATGACAAGTCGTGGGAAGAGTCGCGCACGCGCACTGAGCAAACGTTGTGGTAGCTTCACGGACATATATATTTGAGGATATCGTTAGGTCCCCACTATGAAAGAAATTTGAAGGAAATTATAGGGAACGAAAAAAGCTTCTGTTCAATAAATATAATATAGTTTATATATGAATAATAAAAGATAATAATAAAACTTATTAATTTGTAATTTTTTTACATCTGCAACCAATATATTATATTTATTATTCCTATTGTACTTATTATCACAGTTCTTCCTTAACTTATCACTACATTTATCGCTACACTTATTTATTATAACATTTTACATTATGAATATGTAACCTAAGTATTCACGGGAAAAATACGAAACAATTGTAATGGACAGCCGCGCGAGACCTTTCGCGCGCACTATTTGCACCTACTATCTGCGTTTACATCCATCACTGGAAACGCTTGCGTCGAGTTCTGACGTCATGCTCACGCATACGCACAACGGTTCCCATATAGGAAAAATTCCCACGACTTGTCATCACTGCTCCTCTCCCCCCCGTGGAGCTCCTCGCACAAGAGCAGTGCACCCTCTGTTGGAGGGTGCGCGAGATCCGCAAGGAGGGGGAGGGATTAACGACCAGGGGCCTGGCGGCCTTGAAGTCCCAGGACAGAGCCCGGACCATGGAGCGATGGTCGGCCATTTTGGCTGATCCCTTTGGGTTCGGGCTCCAAACGGCCGAGGCTGTCCGCCCCTGTCTGCCCGAGGTGGCGAACAGGAGTGGACTCATTTTTCATCTGGTGCAGGTGCTGAGCGGGCATGGGTGCTTCGGTCGGTACATGCACCGGATCGGAAAGGAACCCACTACCGGGCGGACGAGGACATGGCGGAATACACGTTGAGTTCATGCGAGGCATGAACCCGACAACGCCGTATCCTCGCCCGAGCAGTGGGGAGCCGGGTGGAGGCCCTCTCGCTCCCGCGCATGATCCAGGCCATGTGCGGGAGCGAGGAGGCGTGGGGCGCGGCGGTCTCCTTCTGCAAGGACATTACGCAGTCTGTCCCAGATCCAATGAGACTGGTCTAAAAAAAATACAAAGCGTTTATTATTTTGATTTTTTATTCTTGTTTATTCAAATAGTCTCCTTCTGAGTCAATACAGCGCTGGAAACGTTCAACAAATTTTTCGAAACATTTTTTATACTCATCGGCTGGAATGGCCTTTAGTATGGCGGTCGAAGTCTTTTGGATGACCGGGATAGTATCGAAACGATTTCCTTTCATCGCCAATTTCAGTTTGGGAAATAGCCAGAAGTCGCACGGAGCCAAATCAGGTGAATACGGTGGACGATCGATAACAATGATGCCTTTTTTGATCAAGAATTCACGTACCATGATGGCTTTGTGCGATGGTGCATTATCGTCCAACAAAAACCAACTGCCTGGCTCTCGATATTCCGGTCGAACTCATCGAATTCTGGCCTACAAACATTGTAAAACTCCCAGATAATATCTGGGCAGACATACAGCGGTCGCTTCGAAGAACTTCTTTGACTTTCTCGATGTTTTCTTCATTGCGAGTTTTTGGCGGCGGTGCTCGGTCATCGTCTGCAAGGTCCTCACGACCGTCACGGAATCGGCCAAACCAACGGAAAACCTGTGCACGGGACATGCATTCATCCCCGTACACATTTTTTAGTGTTTCGTACGTTTCTGCACCACTTTTACCCAATTTAAAAGTTGGTTTTTCGACCGACGTACACAAAGTGACTACATAAAATGTCAAACCACAGTGAAATATCAACCGAATTCGCTCAAATTTTGAGTTAAGTAGATGAAGGGTCGAACATTCACCTACCATCATTCACTCATAGATATCGCTGCGCTAATAACTTTGATGGAACCAGTCTCATCGTATCTGGGACAGACTGTGTATGTCCCGGAAGGAGACCGCCGAATGGGAGCGCCGATCAGACCGCTGAATGGGAGCGCCGATCAGACCGCCACCGCAGGAAGCGGCGGGGCCGGCGGCGCTCCTCGGGGCTGGGCAGTGGGCCCGAGGTGGCGCCGGTCGAGGAGCCGCCCCCGATTCGTCGGGGACCTCTTCGGCCGCCTCGGGCCCGGCTCCGTACGCACGGGGGAGGGCAATGGATATAAACCTGCCTTCCCCGCGCATCAGTAAGGGTTGGTAAAGGGGAGTTGAGGCTTGCTTTGGGACAGGTCCCACTCCCCAACCCCCCTCATGTAAGGAGGGGGGCAGGAGAGAGGATGGGTATCCCTCCTCTCCTTAGTTGTAACCGGAAGGCCAAACCGGCTGGGAAACCGGCCGGGGTACCGCGCCCCGACTCCCTTTGTGGGAGGGGCGCGGTAGACGGGCGTGGGGCTCTCGGTCAGAGCCCTGGGGCCGGGGTGTTAGGGAGGGAATGCAGGTGTAGTTCCCTTGACTCCCCTCACGGCCCGATCGGTAGATACCCCGGTGGGGTTTTAGCCGGTAAGAGTCCGGCATAATCCCCGCCCTCCCTAAGGGGCGGGGGTATCCATGAGGATTTTTCCACCGTTATCAAAAGAAAGCTGAACTGTTGAGCTATAGTATTTGTTAATACTTTTCTTAATATGTTCCGAATCATTACATGTGGAGTATTCCCACTCACTAATTTCAAAATATTAATCTGAAACAATAAGAGGAATAATAATACTATAAGTAATAATATAGACTTTGTATTATTAAATAATAAACATAAAAATATCTAACAATATTTCCCAGACAGCATCCCAACAGTTCAACAATTTTGGAAATGTCCTTAATGCTCGTTTCTAACAATAAATGAATCTTCGATTAATATAACTATTGGTTATTCTATTAGAATTGACCAATGGAATTTGTCAATTCTGAACAATAACTAATGCGATTGGTTAATTCCGATGGTACAACTAAGCGGTTAAATTAATCAAAGTTGGTAGAAGGAGGCATAAGACACAACACAGTTTTCGGATGTCTATAGGACATCCATAGGAGATCTACTATACTATGCTACTTAGGTTCGTACAAAATACATAAATAGTTGAATATATAATAATAATAACAATAATAATAATAATAATAATAATAATAATTCGGTAAACGACTAATAAGTGATATTTTTATTTACCTTTATTCGTTATTAATTCTTCAATTACCAATTCTAATTACCAATTAGGAGGGTTGATATTACATGTGATGATATAATATAATAACCTTCTTTCCAGCAATAGCAATAGCTGCGTTCAACGGAACATAGATGTTCGGCAGAGAAAGCTGCTTTGCCGTTAAGGGCACGATCCATTACACGCTGCAAACGCTTCGAAGTGCCCCACGGACCAATCACGGCTTTCCTTTAAGCGCTTCAAAGTATTTGCAACGTCTAGTGGATCGCACCCTATACAATATGGACTCAACGTTTCTGCTTCCGTGGGGTGCTGTAAAATTAAAATTTTGTTAATCTGATTGGTGTATGCTTTTATTTTTGACTAGATCTAAGAGCATAGACCAATCAGATACACGAATTTTACAATTGCTAAGTAGCTTTCTCTGTTGAACGCAACCAATCGCGTTTGTCTCATAAAGTGCATGTGTGCGTACATACATTAAGTATTTTGAAATCGTAAAGTTTGCATCTTTGAGAATATTCCCATGGCTTTCAAACGTATGAAGACGGCTTCTCGTGTCACATTTAATTGATCCGCGAGTTGTTGTTGCGTTTGAGAGTCATCCTCATCCAACAATGCTTGCAATTCGCTGTCTTCAAACTTTTTCGGAGGTGTTCCACGTTCTTCGTTTCTCGCGTCAAAATCGCCACGTTTGAATTTTTTAAACCACTCAAAGCACTATGGTTTACCAAGAGCATGCTCAGCGTAAGCTTCGACAAGCATTCGATGCAATTCTGCAGCAGTTTTCTTCAAATGATAACAGATAATCAATACTGTCCGCAAATCGTAGCTCCCAGGCACAAAATTCGACATGTTCAACGCTATTACAAACTATGCTGTTCTATGAAACTTATATTGTAGTAAGTTGAAAATCTTTGTCAGATGTCAAATGGCGTCAATGACGCGGTTTGACGGTAACTACATTGACAGCTAGGGCCATCTATGGGCAAATTTCGGTTTCATATTTACAGACCTGGTATCGTATAACGCCCGGCGGCTAAGTCAGCGATCGCACATGCGACGCTGTCTTTGGAGCATTCCGATTGAAAAGAATTTCGTGATCGGAATGCTCCAAAGACAGACCGTCACATGTGCGATCGTTGACTTGACCGCCGGGCATTACGGAGATATAATGGCTCAGTGAGAAATGGCAGTCGAATTGACGCTTATCGGACGTCGATAGCGTGCGTCTAAAAGACGCCAATTCGGCGTCTATTCAACTGGCTATTTCTCACTGGGGGAAGTAGCTCTTCATTTTCACACAAACTGTGAACTTAATTCTGAGTTCTGAAATAAATGTTAACACTTTGCCGTCCGCACGTCTCGTAAAAATTTATTCGCTTGGCGCCGGCAGCGCTAATTCGGATTACTTGGCTTGTCGCCGGCCGTTCTTGACATTATCGGAAGATTATAAATTGTTAAGTTTTACTAATCTCATCGTTAGTTCTCATAAGTTCTCAACCCTGTTCCCCTACTTTCATGAAATTTCGAAGATATACATACGTAAATAAATACAAAATTTGTTTGTTTTATATATTAGTTTATTTGCATTTTCTTTAGTACTTAGTATTTCTCTTTCATATGATATGCAGCAAAACAGTCTCCAAGATGTAACACAACTCCACAAGACTTGCACATTAAGTTTGTTGCTCTTCTTTTTTTGTTCTTGGAACATACATGGCAGTTTCTTCGTTTTCGTTTATTCGTTTCGGAAATAAGTATCAGTTGGTGTTGCTTTATGTGACCGGAAAGTCTGTCAACCGGATCATGATGAGACGTACGCGATGTAGTGGCAACCTCCAAGTTTTGCTCAGAAGCAGGTACATGGTCTTTTATCCACGAATCAGACACTTTCAATAAAAAATCGTGAAATCGGAGACTCTTGTGTTCTGTATTGAAATATTGACATGTACGGAATGCATTAAATAATGCGCAATTAAAGAGGTACATGCAAACCTTTTTTGACCATTTTACAGTTTTTCTGTATATAGGGTAATAACTCAAATATTGGTCTGCCCGATCCACACCTTTCATGTATTTGTTGTAGTCTAATACACTTTCAGGTTTTTTTATTGTGTAATTGGTTTTTCTACATTTTCTTTGAGTGTCAGTCAAAGTGGCGTTATGTATTGTAGAGATCATTCGTATCGTTTTAGTTTTCGAAGCTCTCCATACCTGTGCGAGTACTTCACCTTTCCGTTGATGACAAGCTTCAAACACATTGAGTTTTGCGCCCTTTAATTTTTCCGGAAATCCTCTATTTTGCCGTATCGTTCCACAAACTCGAATTTTCTTTTCAAGTAAATTCTCTGCAAGTTCTACACTGTTATAATAATTATCTATGTAGAGGTGATGCCACTTTCCATAAGAAGGTGTCAATAGTCCCATCACTATTGTTGCTAAAGGCTGTCCAGCGCCGGAATATATCTTGAATGAGGAAATGTATCCCGTACTCGAATCACACAGCATCCGAATGAATATGCCGTATTTCGTAATTTTCGACGGATTGTAAACTTTAAAATTTAACCGTCCACGCCATGGTATCATTCCTTCATCAATTGAGATGTTTTGACTCAGATTAAAATTTTCTTTAAATTTTTTGGAAAAATAATCAATTATGGATTGCACTTTGAAAAGCCGGTCGGCATTATCCGGTTTATTGTTGTTGTCGGAAAAATGTAAAAATGATAATATTTGTCTGAATCGGTTGCGGGACATCGTTTTGCGAAATATCGGTGTGTCTATCAACGGATTCGTTGACCAATAATCATCGATCCTTGCTTTTTTTACAATTCCCATAAGGATAGCAAGCCCAAACCATTTTCTAAGTTCGGGTGCCGTAACGTCGACAAATTTGGCATATTTTTTATCCAGTTTCCTTCTATTGAAATTTTGACTGTAGTACTTGTTGGTTTCGTTGCTAATATATTCAAATAGATCGTTCCCAATATATAATTCTACGATATCCTCGAGGCTCTGTGTATCCTTGGGAAATATGTTTGGACCCGGAGATCCTTCAAATTTATTATTGGTCCTCGGTAAATTAAAGTCTGACCACTGTGCACTGTCTTCTTCGTCGGATTCATCCGAATCAGTTGGCAACCGTAGCGTTCGCCGAATTTTTCTTGGAAATATTTCACTATCTTCTGACGATTCTGCTTCACTTTCATCTTTTTGATATCCAATGTCTTCTTCCGAATCGGCCAAGTCGTCCGGAACGTCAGACAAGACGTCCGCGCATTCATCGTAAATATTCGTTTCGTCTCTTTCGTCTGCCATGATGAAAGGGCACAAGTACTTATAAAAATAAAAAACTTGTTGACGTGTGTAACTTATTGTTACCTAAACAAAACACCAACAGAATGCAAAAGATACTAAAGTGCTGTCGCCGGCCACTGAACGATACTATGCTCACGACACAACTGTGGTGTCGCCGGCCGCTGACCGCTAGTTTGCACACGACACCACTGTTGTGTCGCCGGCCGTTGACCGCTAGTTCGCGCACGATACCACTGTGGTGTCGCCGGCCGTTGACCGCTAGTTCGCACACGACACCACTGTGGTGTCGCCGGACGGCATAGTGTTAATGTTAGCATGGGTATTTTTTTATAAAAATTAGAAATACTGACAAGGGGAGGACGCATCAACCGGGAAACGGTTTGGAACGAAACTTACGGAGTTTATAGTACTTAACTACTAATAACTCATGGCAATAGCATACGACGCAATACCTCTTCGTTTTCGAGAAAAAACGGTCTAAAGAAAAGAGCCAACAAAGTGTAAGAGTTAGTAAGAACGGTATTCAACGAAGCGGTGTAGCGCAGCAGCGAAAGTAACGGACTACCGAGCTGACGGCTGAGGTTCGATCCCTGCTGTATAGTATTTTTTATTCTGTAAGCATAAAAATGAAACAGGAAATATTAATAAGTAATAATTTCTTTGTGTCATTCTAAACGATCGTTAAGAATGACGAAATAATTCGAGCATCGGAACAGTCGTCAGTAATGCAAGCTGCAGTGTGCGTTTACTAGTGATACAGAGCAGTTCGGTGATCATATTTAAATTATATATATCATAACAATGTCAGAGAATCCTTCAAAAAGCAAAATAGTTGATGTAGAATCACTAGAAGAAAGAGCTTATGAGAATGAAGATTTTAAAGGTGAATTCACTAATGCTCTCGTATATGCGAATTCTATTTACGAGAGTAATGAATTATTATCGAAAAATCCTCCAGCGAAAATATAATATATTTTTACTCCTATTTCCATTGCAATTATTATATAAAAATTTTCTCATACACTGTATATTTTATAGATAAGATTTACGGTTTTTTGCAATTTAAATCATTAATAATCTATTTAACAAACACTAATATATTTAAGAAACGCAGTTTTATTATTTATTAATGTTTCCTGTTTCATTTTTATGCTTACAGAATAAAGAAAAACCATACAGGAGGGATCGAACTTCAGCCCGTCAGCTCGGTAGTCCGTTACCTTCGCTGCTGCGCTACGCCGCTTCGTTGAATACCCTTCTTACTAACTCGTACACTTTGTTGGCTCTTTTCTTTAGACCGTTTTTTCTCGAAAACGAAGAGGTATTGCGTCGTATGCTATTACCATGAGTTATTGGTAGTCAAGTACTATTAACTCCATAAGTTTCATTCCAAACCGTTTCCTGGTTCGATGCGTCCTCCCTTTGTGAGTATATTACAACTAACGTTACATTAATGTTATAATTTCGTACTCAAAAATAAAAATACAATGATATGCGTTGCATATAACATCTACATTGTTGAATTAAAAATTATAACATTGACATAATATTAATTTTGGTTGGAAGTTTGATTGTTTTTATCGTTTTTATTAATACATAGACTTTTTTAAATTTATAATTACTAATAGTAATGCAACGCATGCGCTCATTTACATATAAAATTAGCATTCGCTACATCTCAACAAATAGTAGTCATACTATACCACTCGTTAAATTTAACGCAAAAACCTTATTACAAACTAAAAAAGAAACTTCTTTCTGTAAGAATAACTCTTATAATTTTCTTGTTATAAAAATAAAAAAAATTTACATTAGACATATAGTCTGTAGCTATATAAAAAAAAGGGTAAGAATGTAAGGCTTTTTCAGAATTAAACATAAATAAATATGTCTATTAGAGCAATTAACAATATAATATTAAAGTATCAATACTTGCACATATATCTAAATCTGGACATTCTTATTATTTCGATCTTTATATACGAATATTCAAGCTATGAACGTTAATATATACTTTTACATATACATATAACATATATAGGACTTTATTATTAGGTATATTGTGACGAGGCGATTTTGGGTCACTCGTCACAAAAGGCGGAGGGCCTCCGAGAGGGTCCCGGTGACGTCGCGCTCGCCCGCAACCGCGAGGCGAGCTGCGCTGTATCGATATATTGTCGCGAATGCGTTTCGTTAGCGAACGATCTCGTGCCAAAGAGGGCGAGATTGCCTTTCTTTTTTTTGTGGTACTCCCGCGTCCCGACAAAGTGTGTGCCCCTATCGCCGCGGGTAGCCTCCGACGATCAGGAGAAACAGACGAAGGATGTTGAAGAATCTTGAACGACTCCTAGATGGCTTCAGGATCTTTCTTGCAAGTAAAAATTTTGTTTTGAAAAATCTTAAGTTAATCGTTAGCCCACGCCAGCGGAAAGTTAATCGTTGGCCCACGGCGCACAGTGTGCCGAAAGTCGTTAAACGTGGTCAAAATAGAAAAAAATAAAAATCGTAATTTTTGGTTCTCCTTTACAGTATATTTTCGAGAAGGTCCAAATTAATCAATTGTAGTTAAAGTATGTCGGAATTCGACTGTATAACGAAGATATGTAGAATGAAAGTTATATATATTGAGATGTAAGAAATAGCACGATTATAATCCTCAGAATGATATATCTGATTTTGCTTCGAAAAAGTTTCCATGATCAAAATGACTTTTCCTGTTTAATATCTGATCCGTTTACTTTCATTTACAAGGAAAATAATATTAGAAAGTCTTATATATATCACATAACAATTAAATGTAAAGAAGTTATATTTTATATACTGTCTATCATCTATTTCGTGGCATACAAAAAATTCACGATCTGCCACAACGTTGTACTTTTGTCAAAACAAAGGTAGGATGTTTATTAACATTTATACAGAAGTAGAAACAGCGGTATCCAGCGGTTACAAAAATATGATAAATTTTATGAGCAGCGGTCCATACTTATACGCTTACGGTCAAATCCTCTCAGTTGTAGATAATACCGATTCATATCAAAATTAAATTGTCGACCAAAATAATTTTCTCTAGTTAAATTTATGACGTTGGCAAACAAACTAACAATTAATCACAAACTTTAAACTTTTATTTATTTCTAACGCGATAACAACTGTTTAATAATGCAACCTAGTAAACATTTTATGTCGAATATGTAACATATATGTTTAATGTTATACACAGAGATGTTTCTGCTATATATCTGACTTTTGTTACATATCTGAAACGCAACAAAGCTTATACCAGGTGTGTCGGTAATTCCTTTCCGGTTTTTTCGCTAAAGAAAACACGTTATTTACAATGGATAGTTAAAATATATTTATTCAAAGTATTAGCCATTTGATTCTATACATTTTGCCCATCTCTTAGACAATTTATGGATGCCATTCCAAAAGAACTGTTTCTCCTTTGAGCTAAACCATTCATCGAGCCATTTTTTAACTTCTTCGAAATCGGCGAAGTACTGCTCTGCAAGCGCGTGCCCCATCGATGCGAAAAGATGGTAGTCGGATGGAGCCAGGTCTAGAGAGTACGGCGGGTGCGATAAAACTTCCCATCCAAGTGATTTCAACACTTCTTTGACTGGTTTTGCTGTATGAGACGGCGCGTTGTCATGCTGCAAAATCACCTTATCATGTCTTTGAGCGTATTGTGGACGTTCTTCGATCAATGCACAGTTCAAATTGATCATTTGTTGTTGGTAGCGATCGGTATTAACTGTTTCTTCAGGTTTCAACAGTTCATAATATACGACATCAACCTGGTCCTACCAGACACAGAGCATGGTCTTGTGACCAAAGCGATTTGGCCTTGCAGTCGATGGGCCGCCTTCGCCAGGTGATAACCATGATTTTTTTCGCTTGGGATTTTCGAAATAAATCCATTTTTCATCACCCATTACTATTCGATGCAGAAATGACTTCCTTTCATACCTTTGAAGCAGCATTTCACTGACGATTTTTCGATTTTCCAATTGCCTGTCATTCAATTCATGTGGCACCCATCTTCCCATCTTTTGGATCTTTCCCATCGCTTGTAATCGTTCACAAATTGCTACTCGGCTCACATTCAACTTTTCTGCCAATTGTTTTTGAGTTTGTGTTGGGTCTTCATCCAATAACTCCTGCAATTCCGCATCTTCAAACGTTTTCGGCCTACCAGGACGTTTTTTGTCTTGAACGTTGAAATCACCACATTTGAATTGTCGAAACCACGTTTCACATGTTCCTATGGTTGGAGCATGCTCACCGTAAGTCTCTACCAGCAAACGATGATTTTCAGCGGCTTTTTTCTTTTGATTAAACAAGAAAAGTAATGCGTGCCGCAAATGCACGTTTTCAGGCACAAAACTCGACATTTTCAAAAAATTATTAATCTATAACGCTATTTTGGCGGAACGTAACTTGTGTAGTTTTGAGATTAATGTCAGTAGAATAAAATGACATATGTATCAAATCATAACATTGCATACTTATGACATTAGTGACATCTTTTTACATCTTGTTACAAAAACCGGAAAGTAATTACCGACATACTTGGTATATGTAGCAGAACCATCTCTGTACATAACATTTAACATATATGTTACGTATATGACAAAAAATGTTTACCGTGAACATTTACGGGGAAAATTGTAGTTTTTAACGTAAAATAAACAAATCATAAATTGATAAACAACATAAACAATATGAATATAAAAAACAAATAACAATAAAAAATATAAATATGAGAATTATAAATATAAAAGCTAAAGGTTATATAAAATAAACATTTTTTATTGCTTTGTTTTTATATATATAAACTATTTTATAACATTACCGTGACAGAAAACTCCTCCTAGGTAGAAATGGGAATCCTTATAGGTAATGAGTATAGCGCGTATATAAATTTGGTATATAAATTTGGTACCTATTGTTATGAGATAGCTCAACTATACGTCTGTTTGTATAGCTGGTACTTT